AAGGCCTGTTTCAAACGTCGTGCTCAGTACTGCCGGGCTAAGCTGGCTCGACTGTAGCTCGACTGCAGTACGACACTAGCGCGACTTGGTTTCAGACGTCGAATTTAATTCAGTAGAATAGAACGGCTGTTGCCGAAAACAAAATAAAAAAAATAAGGAAACGGTTTAGCAAACTTTTAAATGTATTCTAATGTATTCATAATTTATGAATTGAGTTCGGCACGGCAGTAGCGCGACGTTTGAAAGTCGTTTGAAACCAGGTCGTACTGCAGTGTAGCACGGCAAGCTTTGCCGTGCTGCACTGCAGTACGACTTGGTTAGTTCGGCACGGCAGTAGCACGACGTTTAAAACGGGCTAAGTAAAAAAAGTTATGAGGTTATTACGTTGCTATGACAACTTCGAGGTCACCGAATAACATTGGTGAACTAAATTTTATCTTTACATTGTATTTGGTATGTCTGTGGTGACCGCTATTTCGATAGCATAGCACGACGCAAGTCGGGAAAGAAGACGAAGACCAAGAAGACGAAGAAGAGGAAGAAGAAGAAGAAGACGTAGAAGAAGAAGACGAAGAAGAAAAAGAAGAAGAAGAAGAAGAAGAAGAAGAAGAAGAAGATTATTTTGAAGAGGTAAGATCACCTGTAAGATGCACTGCATGAGTAAATTCTGCTTTGCGTACGTCACACGTTAGCCTGCTAAACACAACGTTAATCACACCATGCATCTTGACACCTTCATGTGAATAATTTGTTTCAAAAAATTAGTTTCTATATTTGGGCAGGAAAAAGTTTCTTAACTCTTAGGACACAATATCAAAATAGTTTTTCCCATATATAAAAGACAAAACACGATATATCTTTACCATGAAAAGACTCAATGGTTGTATATGACCATTAATTTTAGCATGGCAATGCAGGGAAGTCTTTATCTTTGTAAAACATATTTAAACGGACTCTCGCAAGTGTTTAACAAAACACCGTTTCATTTGCCATTTTCAATTTGCCCCGAACGCTTTGATGTAAACACCATTCATTGTGAACAGTTTCATGAAAGCATTATGGCGAAGACCGAAGAAAGCATTTGTTTTTTTAAAATGATCCACTTAGGAAGGGATCTGAAGGTCGAAAGATTTCCGAAACTTCGGTATAAGTTAGACTTCGAAGTTAGACTCTGTAGGTCTAAGTTGAAGTGTAACTTAGACCGCGGTTTAGGAAATCTTTGGACCTCCAGATCTCTTCCTTTATATAGGTTATTTTAAAAAGAGAAATGCTTGTCTAGTCTACGCCACATGCTTTCATGAAACTGTTCACGATATATGGTGTTTACATTAAAACGTTCGGCAAACTGAAAATGGCTTAGGACGCGGTTTTGTTAAACACTGGCTATACTCCGTTTAACTGTTAACGGGTCTGTAGTCTCCGGCGTTTCGATGGCTTTTGGCATGAGTAACCACTTTTCTGTAAGGACTTCAGTCTAGTGTAAAAATGGAAAAAACACAGCAGTGAGAGGGTTTTTAAAAATTTATGATTTATCTAACAGAAAACTAGAAACTAACTAAAATAGCAAAATTGAAAAGAAGCAAGAATTCAGAGTTAATATGCTTTACCCAGTAATAAGAGTTTGAGCTTAGCAAGGCAGGGAGAAGTCAACGATCAGTCTCTTGGTTTTCAGATGGCTTTCATTAACACCAATTTTAATTAAAAAAACGCTTACTTATATTTATGCTGAGATGGTTTTTAAAAGTTTATGATTCATTTAACAGGACGGTACGTAAAACTTATTAAAATGGCAAAATTTTAATAGAGACAACAAAAAGACTAAAAAATATGTCTGTGGGTGGACAGTATAGCAAACATTTTTAAAACCATATCATTTTGCGGCATTACATGCTATAACTAATTACAATTTATAGAGGTATTGGCCTGCGAAGCTTCTCTAAAAACTATTATGAATATACACTTTTCTATAGACATATTAAATTCTGCAAGCAGAATACTGCAATGCTACACTTAAACCATGGTTTATCATGAGAATTCTATTGAAAACTGATCTCTTTTTTCGAGTTTCACTGACAATAGCTGACGTTTTTAAAATCATTTTGTGTCCCTTGCATTAATTATTTACGATCACTTAATTAGGTACTCAAGGACTGAGAAGCTTCTTATCAAATTGCTCTCCACTTATATACACGTTTCTTTACTTAAAACGCTCGAAAATTAACATAAAATAAAAAAGTCAAAACATGATATATCTTTACTGTTATTAATTTTTAACTATAATACCTGGAATGCGTAAAAGACTTCAGTGGTAATATTAATACAAGCTATACGTTTAGAGTTTGAGTATGGCAAGGAAGAGAAGATTAAGGCTATGCTCACACTATATTCCGGATAGCTTTTCGTGGCGTCACGAAAAGCTATCCGTTCAGTTATAGTGTGAACACCTATCCGATATGTGATTCTCCACTTTAGAGGTCTGCGCGGCGCAGCTTCGCTCCGTCACAGAAATCGCGCCGCGACAACCGTTCTAGTGTGTGAACGGAAGCCCTATCCAATATGATTTTCGTGGCAGCGCAAAAGCTATCCGGTTTTGTGTGAACCCCATTTAGGCCCGTTTCAAACGTCGTGCTACTGCCGTGCCGAACTCAATTGATCGAATTAAATTCGAATTAAGCACGGCAGTAGGGCGACGTTTGAAACCAAGTCGCGCAACTGCCGTGTAGCACGGCAAGCCTTGCCGTGCTACATGGCAGTAGCTCGACTTGGTTTCAAACATCGTGCTACCGCCGTGCCGAACTTAATTCATAAATTATCAATACATTAGAATACATTTAAAAGTTAGCTAAACCTTTTCTTTATTTTAGTGTTTCGTTTTCGGCAACAGCCGTTCTATTCGACTGAATTAAATTCGACGTCTGAAACCAAGTCGTACTAATGTCGTGCTGCAGTCGAGCTACAGTCGAGCCAGCTTAGTACGGCAGTAGCACGACGTTTGAAACAGGCCTTAGTCTTCACTACTTTGTAAAGCTTTAATATTAGTCTCTGGATTGGCGATGTTTTTTAGCATGAGTAACCCCCAATAAAAATTTTAAGGACTAAACGCTCAGTATATTTATGCTGAGGTGGTTTGAAACCGTAAATCTAATTAAAAGAGACCAAAAATGGGTTAAAATGTCTAGCCTAGGAGCAGGATCCGCTGTTTCACTCCGTGGTTTTTCCACATTGGGGAGCCTGGTACCTGGCTATAAAATATCTTTCTGGGCAGACCCTAAACCTGCAATTGTTTTTANAATTCATAAATTATCAATACATTAGAATACATTTAAAAGTTAGCTAAACCTTTTCTTTATTTTAGTGTTTCGTTTTCGGCAACAGCCGTTCTATTCGACTGAATTAAATTCGACGTCTGAAACCAAGTCGTACTAATGTCGTGCTGCAGTCGAGCTACAGTCGAGCCAGCTTAGTACGGCAGTAGCACGACGTTTGAAACAGGCCTTAGTCTTCACTACTTTGTAAAGCTTTAATATTAGTCTCTGGATTGGCGATGTTTTTTAGCATGAGTAACCCCCAATAAAAATTTTAAGGACTAAACGCTCAGTATATTTATGCTGAGGTGGTTTGAAACCGTAAATCTAATTAAAAGAGACCAAAAATGGGTTAAAATGTCTAGCCTAGGAGCAGGATCCGCTGTTTCACTCCGTGGTTTTTCCACATTGGGGAGCCTGGTACCTGGCTATAAAATATCTTTCTGGGCAGACCCTAAACCTGCAATTGTTTTTAAGAACTCTTATTACACATGGGCTCACAGTACCCGTTAAACCAACGTAGAAAATCTTCCAGAGATTCACTGTCAATTAATAGCTCACGTTTTTAACACACATTTTGTTTCATTACGTGCCTTAATTATTTATGAAGTTATTGGCCTGCGACGCCTCTCAACAAACTGTGGGTTCGGCCTAATTTTCGATAATTTCAATAAAACGCGACGAAGACTTGGTTTTGGAGAAATGGAAAATTGCCTTTTAGAGTATCTTGTTTACTATGGCTATTTAGTACTGTGTTTATCATGATATATTTTCGCTTGATCTGAATGAAAGAATCTGGAGAGACAACAAAGAATTTGCAGTAATAAACAGTGCGTTTTAGGTCTTTACAGTTTGTAAAGTTTAAAACAGTTCATTTAATCGAATTCCGGCCATGCCTTTCGTTGTTCATTTCAGGCTATTTGACAAATAAACTCCCTTTTTCTCTTCATAATGAAGCCTTTCATCAGAAACTACTGTATTCATATTAGTTTACTCGTAATGCTTGTAACTTGAAGCCGCTGGTTCAAGGATTGAGAAGAATGAAGGATTATGCAGATGAAATAAGCGGCGGGGGGGGGGGGGGGGGTTGGGGGGGGGAGGAGTAAATTCATAAATTATCAATACATTAGAATACATTTAAAAGTTAGCTAAACCTTTTCTTTATTTTAGTGTTTCGTTTTCGGCAACAGCCGTTCTATTCGACTGAATTAAATTCGACGTCTGAAACCAAGTCGTGCTAATGTCGTGTTGGGGGGAAGAGTTATCTAGACAAATTAATAATTCAATATTTCTGTTAGATTCTTTCAAAAAATCTACTCAGCTTCCTCACCTTTACTAGTCTCGTTCTGCGTGTCTCGAAATTTCATGATATGAGGGGAGCTCTTTTTTCTTTTAAGCAAAGCCATTTACCACCTCTTTAAGACTGTACCAGGCTGTCTAGTGCCTTTTTTGTTTTTCCCGGTTTTAGTCATCTCTTTAAGTGTTTGAATTGCTGTTTGTCTTCGTCAAATGTTTGAAATCTTCTAAATAAATGTGCCAAAAAAGCACATAATTAAAAGAAAGTTATGAGGTTATTACAACGTTGTTATGACAACTTTGAAGTCACTGTATAACATCAACACTGGCCAACTAGTTTTTATCTTTATTTCGTACGTGACCGCTATTTCGATAGCATAGCACGACGCAAGTCGTACTATGATCAAACCTGGCAAGTATTCAGCCCTTAAGATATTCAGTTCGAATGTAATTAATTTATTTGCTAAAGAAAACGAAGACCAAGAAGACGAAGAAGAACAAAAACAAGAACAAGAAGAACAAGAGGGTGAAGACGAAGAAGAAGAAGATTATTTTGAAGAGGTAAGATGCACTGGCCTGGATGAGTGAATTCTACTTTGCTTACGTCACACATTAGCTTGCTAAACACAACGTTAATTACACCATGCATCTTGACACCTCCATGTGCATATTTTTTTTAAAAAAATAGTTTTTATAATTGCGGGGCAAAAAGTAGAAAAAGTTTGTCAACTCTTAGGACACAATATCAAAATATTTTTTCCCAAATGAAAAAGACAAAACATGATATACATTTACTGTGAAAAAGACTCAATAGTTGTATATGGCCATTAGTTTGACCATGGCAATGCAGGGAATTCTTTATCTTTAATTTGCAAACATTTTAAGGGCCAGTTATTTAAACGGAGTTTAGCCAGTGTTTAATAAAACCCCGCTCTATTAGCCATTTTCAGTTTGCCGAACGCTATAACGTAAACACTGTTCATTCGTAACAGTTTCATGAAAGCATATCGCGTAGACCGAAAAAGGGCATTTGTCTTTTTAAAATGACCCACTAAGGAAGAGCCTGAAGGTCGAAAGATTTCCTAAACCTCGGTCTAAGTTACACTTCGAAGTTAGACTTCGTTGGTCTAAAAGCCGAGTTAGACTTCGTTTAGGGTCGGTTATTAAAACGAATTCTAGACCGCGGTTTAGGAAATCTTTGGATCTCCATATCCCTTCCTTTATACTGAGGTTATTTTAAAAAGAGAAATGCTTGTCTAATCTACGCCATATGCTTTCATGAAACTGTTCACGATATATGGTGTTTACATTAAAACGTTCGGCAAACTGAAAATGGCTTAGAACGCGGTTTTTGTTAAACACTGGCTTAACTCCGCTGATAATAATAATAATAACAACAACAACAATAATAATAATAATAATAATAATAATAATAATTTGCACTACTTGCAAAATAAGACATCATTTAAATCCTCGAAATATATTTCGCTCTTTCGAAAATTTTAAACTTCTAGAGCATTTTAATTTTTACATTTTACATTTCCTATACGTGCGTCGAATATGGTAAAGACGTGATGTCTTATTTTGCAAGTAGTTCAAGTTATTCGAACACATTCCTCGTTTCGGCATTTACAACTTCCCAAAAATAATGATAATGCCTTTATTTAACGAGGGTAATCATGTTGTTCTCGAGTCTACCTTGCACATATCTAACGGGACACTGTTCCATAAACACTGTTCGCTTAAAAACAGGCCTGTCGTCTCGATGGCGTTTCGGTGGCTTTTAGCATGAGTAATCACTTTTCCGTAAGAACTTCAGTCTAGTGTAAAAATGGAAAAAAACGCAGCAGTGAGAGCGTCGTTAAAAATTTATGATTCATCTAACAGCAAACTAAAAACTAATTAAAATTGAAAAATTGAAAAGAGGCAAAACTTCAGTGTTAATATGCGCAACACGGTTATAACAGTTTGAGCTTAGCAAGGTAGGGCAAAGCCTACGATCAGTCTCTTGATTTCCAGATGGCTTTTAACACCAATTTTAAGCACTAAAGGCTTAGTTATATTTATGCTGAGATGGTTTTTTTAAAAATTTATGATTCATCTAACAGCACGGTCCGTAAAACTTATTAAAATGGCAAAATTGAATGGAGACAAAAAAATGACTAAAAAATATGTCTGTAGGTGGACAGTATAGCTGACATTTTTAAAACCATTTTACAGGAGGTACATGCTTTAACTAATTACAATTTATAGAGGTATTGGCCTGCGAAGCTTCGCTAAAAACTGTTATGAATATACACTTAAACCATGGTTTTCCAAGACAGAATTCTATTGAAAACTGATCTCTTTTTTCGAGTTTCACTGACAATAGCTGACGTTTTTAAAATCATTTTGTGTCCCTTGCATTAATTATTTACGATCACTTAATTAGGTACTGGTTTGAGAAGCTTCTTATCACACTGCTCTCTATTTATATACACTTTTCTTTTCTTAAAACGCTCGAAAATTAACATAAAATAATAAAATAAAAAAGTCAAAACATGATATATCTTTACTGTTATTAATTTTTAACTATAATACCTGGAATGTGTAAAAGACTTCAGTGGTAATATTAATACAAGCTGTACGTTTAGAGTTTGAGTATGGCAAGGAGGAGAAGATTAAGGCTATGTTCACACTATATACCGTACAGCTTTTCGTGCCGCCTCGAAATCTGTTCTGAACACTTATCCGATATGTGACTCTCCACTTCAGAGATCGGCGCGGCGCAGCTTCGCTCACAGAAATCACGCAGCCAAAACTGTTCTTTTGTGTGAACAGAAGGCCTACCAGTAGGGAACTTAGCTTTCGTCTTTACAGATTGCAAATTTAATAAGTTTATGTAATCAAATTCCATGCCTTCCGCGTTTCGTTTCAGGTTATTTGATGTAAAGCTCCTCGCACCATGAAGCCTTGCATGTTTCAGAAACTACTGGCTCTTATTTCATTGCTCCGCATTGTATCCTGGGAACCTCTTGGAGAAGCCGCTGGTCAATGTAATTCCGGAGGTTCAGATTATGGTAAAGCGCTCACAGGTCACACATTTAAGAAATTCAAGGTAAACCGCCCTTCTGATTGCGTCATAAGATGTGAGAATGAACCAGGATGTCAGAGCTACAACTACAAGCTGGAGGAAAAAATCTGTGAACTAAATAGCAGATCCAAGGAGACGAGACCTATGAACTACAGAGTCAGAGCTACAACTACAAGCTGGAGGAAAAAATCTGTGAACTAAATAGCAGATCCAAGGAGACGAGACCTATGAACTACATAACTGACTTGACTCGAATTTATATGACTGTTAAATTCATTGAAGGTATGTTTTCACGCACGCCTACTTCAATTCGCTTAGTTTATGAAAACTAAACAGATCAGAAAGAAATAGAGGATATTACATGGCCGCTTGGAGATACGAAATTTCTCTTCAAGTGTTGAAAAATATTTTTTTCAACACGAGAAGAGAAATTTCGTATCTCCAAGCAGCCATGTAATGTTATATTTATTATATAAACACCAATGAAATACCAAACCATTTCACTTTCATATTTTTTGGTGTGAAATACGCGATTTATTATGTAGCCATAGCAACGGTGATATTTTCACGTGTGAAGATATAGAGGATATTACAAGGTGGCGAGAAGATATGAATTTTATGTTCGAGTGGCAAGAACAATATCTCACGATATTGTTCTTGCCACGAGAACATAAAATTCATATCTTCGAGCCAACGTGTAATGTTCTTTTTATTATATGGAGAAGCCAATTCAACAAAAGCAAAAGGCGGGAATCGTGACGTCATTGAACGATACGACACTCACAAAGGTGACATACGGAAAATACGCCACTCGGTTCCCGGATGAAGTGGCGTATGGAATCTACGAGTGGTTTAGTTCCCAGTAAAACACTCTCCTCCATATAATAAAACATGTTATTTTCACTAGTGAAAATATCAAGTTTTCGCGCGAAAGCTCACCTGGTATTTCATTGGCGTTTATATAACAAACAGTTTTTCGTGGATACGAAAGAGAAATAGCTGTGAGCATGCGGAAGGAAGTGCAATACCGCCGACTTTGGTGGTGTGACCATTACTCTCAGATTTTCTGCCCTATGACTCGGGACAAATTGGCTTTGAAATAATATTTAAAGTCTGTGACAAAGAAAGGCGGCAGTTTTTCAGATAGTAGCCTATTTGGATGGGCTCAAGATTGGGATTTTAGAAGGCTCGGCAAATTTATTATTTGGCCCCCGTTTTAAACCACTTTAGCCTTGATAATGTCTGTCGGTGCTATTCTCAATGACGGAGTTGATAGTTTAGACTGATTACAGTCTACTATTTTTCCCCAAGATCTTGGTAAAGATCGAGCGCAGACATCTTGGTTTCAAGAGTATCAGATCCACTTTTCTCCTTTGCTATAAACGCCTACGCTCACCTTCTCGCTTCAACTGAAATTAAGATGACCGCTCGTTACAGTTCGATCTTAGCGATTTACTTGTATATGTGGCTACCAGAACTTGATAACTTGTAAATTGCGATTAATAGGTACGTGTATACAGCATTTACTCATCTGCATTTTTGTAGTGCCTATTTGGGTATACTTAAATACAGTATATGCTCGGCCGAAAGTAGCGAAATAGCCTGGGGTAAACTACAATGTTAGCTGGATCCGGCTATGTATACGGAACTAACAAGAAAAGCAAAGTGGATGGTTCCAGGACTAAATGTGCTTCCTAATTCTCAGTCTCTCGTGTATTTCAGTGCCACAAACTAAGGAAATAGCAAGTAAATAAAACCCACATAAAGAAATCAAATCAATCGTTATACTGAATAAGGTCTCTTCGTATATCGCAGATAAAGATGAATCCTCTTCAAGTCAGTGGAACATATCTGATGGTAGGTAGAGCTACGTTCCATAGTACTGAAAATAAGAAATATCGATCATGTCATGCTCTGGCTAAGTCCTCATAACAATATAGTAAAGGCTGAAATTCATTACTTGATTTCATCTATGACAAAGCAACTTTACAACTAAACGAATATTTAATAAGTATATCTATATGATGTTGAGCCTTAGTATTTTATTATTATCGCCAGGTTCAGTTTATCCTAATCCTGGACCCAACAGTATCAACTTTTCAATCGCTCAGTTAAATATCAGAAGCCTAAATGATATTGATAAGCTGAGCGAAATGTATGTTTTGGCTTGTTTGTATGAATTCGATGTTTCTGCGTTTTCTGAAACGTGGCTGAATTCTAGCGTATCTAATGACTCGATTCTCATTCCTGGTTATAGTCTACCCTTGAGGAAAGATAGGGTCAGGAAGCTCGGAGAAGGTGTGGCAATTTATGCCAAAGATCACATTGCAGTTAAAAGACGTGTTGAGTTTGAATACTCTGCTGGGTTAGAACTCCTCTGGGTTCAGTACAGTTTTAACAATTTTGTTTTTCTTTGCGGCAATCAATCAGCAAATGCGGAAAAGGCCTTTTTTGAGTCTTTACAAATGAACTTTGATAAAATTAAAAGTTGCGGCCAAATTTTCTCGGCTATTGTTCTTTTAGGCGATTTCAATGCTCACTTTAATTACGGTGATACTTCCTCGCCAAACACCGATATTGACATCAGAGTTTTCAACTTTTTGGAAAGTAACAATCTATATCAACTTGTAGATAATCCAACGCGAATTACTCGGTCTGAGGAGTCAATTCGTGACCTTATCATATCAGACTCGCCTGTACTGTCGCAATTTGTAATAATCATCGCACTTTGTAATACCTGTCGCGATTTGTAATAAATCCATCGCACTTTGTAATACCTGTCGCAATTTGTAATAA